CTTAATAATTGTTATTTTATTTTCAATGAAACAGTAACAGATTGCATGATGATATGAGATCTGTACAGGAATAGAGATTTTAAAGGCAATACCTTATATTTCCAAAATTACTTACAGAAAATACAATATTAAATTAAGGATAAAAGTAATCAAAATTAAAAGGATTTGCCAATGGGCAATGTGTCCCTAGAAAGTATGCTATACTTTTCCTCGTCTGTAGAAACCAAACTTGTAGGACTTTATATTTTGATAATATATCCTTTCAGGGTATTCTCAACACACTCAAAAGCTTGAAAAATTGTGAAGGAGCCATTTCCGACCCTATAAATCATATATATTCTTGATCAGCATCAAAAGCAGAATCGATTTAGGCATGTCCAAGCAAAAAAAAATTTTGACTCATTTTTTTTTAATTTTATAAGGGGTTACATCGTTAAAATTTGCAAAATTTGCCAAAAATCTGAATATTTAAAATCTCTGTATTTACTAATCCGATTTATTAACCTAACAAAAACTAGCACAAAACTGCTTTCCTATCTGAAATTACTGTATTTTTGGCTAAGTTATGAACAATTTAACATTCCCTTTTTAAGTCAATTCCTCACTTAAAGGGTAAATAAGTTTCGGTTTGTTTTTATACTCCCTTCGATCTATACATCCAAATATTCCCTTACTCCTTGGCAGGGTATCACTCAGCCAGCCATTTGTATGCATGCATTTGAAAATTTGAGTGCTGCTTGCGACATGTTCTTGGGCTGTTGTTGTCGTTTCCATTGCCGTTGCATTTTTTTTTTCTCTCCTGCCTGCATTGTTGACAGGCGTTAAAATTTGACACACACCCACACACACACACACACACACACACACACACACACATACGGTGGCCACCCACAGTCCCATATGCAGTGTGTGTCCCTATCAGGACGTGTGTGTGTTTGTGTTGGCGCATTGTTTGAATTGCCCGTCGAGGTTAAGCTGTAACATTTAAAGTGTTGTCGGTTCCGCTTGCCGTTTGCCATTGTAGTTTTCCCGCTGCTGCTGCTGCAGCTGCTGGTGTTTAGCTCAAGTGCACTTTGGGCTTTTCCCTTTCTGGCCTCAGAAGTTGACATTCCTGCTGCCAAGAATGCTCTGACAGATTTCAATTGCCCGCCGGCACTCGGCAAAAGTTTTGAATAATATTGCGCTAGGACCTGCTACCCTCAAAGCCTGGCTGCCCGGCTGCCTACTACCGTGTCGTGTTGGCTAATCAAGGCATTAATTTCTTAGGGCATTTACGGGTTAGCCATCCTTTTGAGTCGGGGCAAGCCAACACACACACACAGCTGCGCTTGCCTGTGTCACACATCCATCAGAGATTGTCGCCGAGCCTAAGCCATGTCATGGGTCAAGTGGCCGGAGAGCTTCTCCAGCGGCCAACTTGGCCAGGACCAGCAGCCCCTCATCCCCTTGGTGCCTCGTCTCGCCTGCAGCTGACATCATTGTGGGCCGGGTCCAGTGGCCATTGTCTAAGCATTTAGGAGCTCGGCCTCCCATCGTGGCTTATTAGACATTGTGGCCCCGCCTGCTAGGACCTCGCCAAACCTGCACAAAGGATCGCAGTCACAAAGGACATCCCCAGCTATCTATACAGCACATAAATGTGTAGTTGTGGGCGTGTGCCATTAGCCATAATGCATACTCCATTATGCCGGCTTTGTTTAAGTTTTTTTTTTGTGCCTCCTCCCGCCCTGATTTTTCCTGGGGGCGTGTGTGCAATGTCCTGGTGAAAAAAGACCAGGCAAAGTAACCTCACGGAAAGAAAATCAATGATATGCTTAAAGTTAATTAATTATTTGCTGAAAATTATGTTAAAGATTAGGAAACACGTAATTGTGATTACAAAGAAACCCTTAATGTCGTAATTTAAGTAATTTCTTGATTGAACTTTTGATATAAACAGCCTAAAATGGTCTATATAACTTACCTCCTTTTAACCCATGACTCTACTTTTGTGACAGTGTCTCATTCTAATGGCTCTCTATGTTGCTGCGACTCTAAGCCCAATGTCCAATGCCATCTGACCGTCAGTCAGTTTCAGTTTCAGTTTCAGGTCCATGGCAAAGTTAATGACAACTTGCACTAGAACCCTTTGGCCACACACACACACAATCGACATACAGACAGTAGCAGCAGGCTTCTGTACACACACACACATGCATGTTTTACCAGAAGTCCTTGGCAATTCCTGTTGCAAATTCCGTGCTGCTCCTCCTCCTAAATATATATATGAATATTTCATGGAAGGAAGACACACTCGACTGGTCACTGCACAAGTGCATTGAGTATGCTTCGTTTGCAACCCAGAAAATGGTAAGACAATTATGGTCAATGGATTTTAACACTTTGCCAGGAGTCAGCAGGAGTCAGCAGGAAATATTAAGGCACCTCTGTGTGGATGGATGGTCATGCAATATTCATGAGTTCCTTGCGAAATGCCAAATAAATGCGATATCATAAGTGTTTAATGCAAAAGAGCACGCCCGCCCCTTATTCGTTTCCTTGGAATATGCATAAATAAATTATTAATAGGTCTTAGTGGCGCTTCAATGATGGAAACTGGTGGCTCATTATGAAGTTGGCAATCGAGCAGAAATTGGAAAGTTTCACAAAGTTGGCCAACTGAGAGTAGTTGGAGGGGGTGGGGACAGGAAGGGAAAGGGTTGCTCCTTCCGCCCGTCGCCTCCGGGACCGCCGCAGGAAGTGTAATTTCTTATTTTGCCTGCTGCGAATTGAAGAATTTATCTTTATTTTTTACCCCCAGCTTTGGCATGTCTGTGTATCTGTATATCCTTGTTCGTGTCTGTGTCCTTTTTCCCCTTTTTTCCCTTCTGGCTCTCTACCCTGCCGCATTGTTGTGCATTGGGCCGCAGCTGGTCTGCCATTAAATCAACAATGGCCGCCCGTACACGTGCTCGTCCTTCTCAACGGGTGTGTGTGTATATGTGTGTGTGTGTGTGTGTGTAAGAGTGGGTGTGCCTGGCTGTATTAGTTTCCCCTTTGTATGATTTTTCATTTGAGTTAAGACCGACGACGCTCGCTCGACGAGGCCCCCTTCGAGCCCCCCAAAGCCTGGGCATATTTGTGCGTATTGCAAGTGAAATTCTCTGCTGCTTATTGTTATTGCCCCGGGAACATGGAAAACGATTGGTTGGAGGGGAGCATGAGCAGGATGAGGACTGGTTGGAAAAAAAGGACACACAGGACGTACGGAACACAGAGCTTTGGCGCACAGGACACGCAGCAATTGAGAGTTGTTGATTGTTGCATATTACTCACAGGCCGAAAGTTCAAAGGGTCATCGCAAGCGGGCGAGTTGATTCCCAGGATTCAGGACTCTAAAGTCGACTTTCTTTCTTTTCAACAAATATAAAATAAAAAAATAATGATTTCCGTTGGGGAATAGAGAGTGAGTGCAGTCAGCATTGTTAATGGTAGCAATAATCGGCTTAAAACTAATACCCCAATGCCCCACATACAAGCATAATACTTGAAATTAAATATGTTTTGTATTTGTCGTAAATATTTAAAGGTATTTTAATGACACTCTGCAAATCCTTTGTCATAGGAAATACATAATCATAACCTAAGATGTATAGTTTTTGAACTAATTTAATGTCTGAATACTTGTAAAAAACTTATTCAATCCTTCAAGTGTAACGGGTATAAACTTAAACATTATGGCATTCTTATTCCTTATTACATTAAGTCTGAAAAACCCGATCCTTTGGCGGATGCACTGCCATCTGAGGTGGAAGCCAGCCGTCGGGATAAAATAATTTTTCCACCGGCAACACTCATAAATATTCATGTTATAACCGGAAAACGATTAAATCGGAAAATGTTTTAAGCTCCTGTTGCAGCTCCAACTTCGTGGTAGCTCCTCCTGCAGCTCCGGCTGTTGGTTGTGTGTTTGTATGGTTTTCCAATATTGATGGTAAATGCCGTAAAGTGTTCTACGAGAACAGCAGCCACGCGTTGGGCTCCTCGGCTTTTCCCCACACTTTTCCTCACTCCCTTCGTTTAACTTGGTGCTGCTGCTGCTGGCTTGAGTTTTATGCAAGCATGTGGAAAATTCCAACGAAGTGCGGTCATTTTAATAACAAAAAACATCAGCTCTTTATGCACTCCATGGCTCTTGTTGTTCCTCTTTTCGCTGTTCTGCTCTGCTTTGGCTTCTATTTACTTGTTTTTATTATTTGTATTTTTTTTTCTTGTGTTATTTCGCCGCCGTTGTTGTTGTTGCATTTTATGACTTTCGCTGTTGTTGTTAGCCAGCGCAAAACTTTTCCAATATACCAGTATGCTTTTTGTTTTTCCTGCAACCCTCCCGCTGGCTTGGATTTTCCCCAGCGTGAGTGTGCGAATGTGTGTGTATCTATGCGGCAGTGTGTGTGGCTATCACAGTTGGTTGGTTTAATTTTTAAATCACACAAGACAGTTAATTGATGGAGGGAGAAGTGGCAGCAGGAGTGGAGTCCTTACTGCATAGTCCTGCGGCATTCTGGGGCATTTCAATAGATATATGAATGAAATTGCAATAGGAATAATGCTGTTTCTCGCATTTCTGGGTCAGGGCTGAATGTTTACAATCATCGAGCTTAGTTTTGTATCTTTGAATCTGTGTATCTTTGAGATATAACAATTTGAATGAATTTTCTTGGCAAATGTCATGTTGTTTATGGGTTTTTAAATGCTTTTCAGCTTTAGAATTGTAGTTAAATTCTTTAGAGAAGAATAAGAGTCTAGGTTTATAGACATTTTCAAGCCAGGATTAATGTTTGGTTGAATTTGTTCCAAATAAGATATAAAAACTAATTAAAGCACTGTATACTGGACAACTTTAACTATAAGAAACTTTATTTTTAAGGGTTCTAAAAGATCCTTGAGTGCCAGGATACTGCAATGGGCTTCTCTGCTTTAAACTCAAATTAAAACTCCCTTTCTTTCTTAATCTCTTGCAGGGTCAGTGCTCGGCTGGTACACTGCCCATGGCCTGGGTCGATGAGGGACCCGGGCCCCCAACCTGCCCGCGATCCTGCGCCGAGCAGCAGCACCAGAAGCCAGCGGCCTCCAAGGCGAGGCCCCCGAGGAGCGCCTCCAGTAACAATAAAGTCAAGTATTTCGTAAACTATAAATCGGCCCAGATGCGTTTACGTCGCGATAGGGACTACGCGATGGACGCCACCGAGAGCAATTCCCCGATGCCGGCCAGTGAGCGGCCAACCACCACCGACCTGGGCCTGGACGTGGACATGAATGTCGATGGGGACATGGGCAGTTCAACCTCCAGTGCGTCCAGTGTTACAGAGGAGACAGCGGCAGTGCCGGAAGTGCCGGAGCCAACGTTGTCCTACAGCCATCTGCATGCCCAGGAGCAGCTCCAGCTGGACCAGGACCGGGGGGAGGACGAGCAGCAGGAGCAACAACAGTGCCTTGAATATCTGGGCGATTCCGCCGAGTCGAGTCCGCAGCACCTGTGCGACCTTCGGTCACCCGGCCAGCTGGTGGAACGGCTGCGGGCGCTGCGCCTGCGCAACTGCTGCGAGCGGAGCGTGTTCAGTGCCCTGCACACGCTGGCCCTCAATGCCAGCCTCTCGGATCGTCGGGAGTGCGCCCGCATCCTTAGCGACCTGCTGGACGTGGACAACCTGGCGAATCGCATCACCTGCGAGCTGGCCGAGATCCTGTTCCGGTTCGACTGCCGGCAGGTTTACTCGCTGATCAACCAGTGCGACGACTGCAAGGTGAGTTTATCGAAGAGTCTTAAGCTAAGCCCTCGAACCTTCTTGGCCCTGGGTTCTGGCCAAAAACCCATCTAATCCCCTGTCTTACCCAATCTCATTTCAAGCCATAAAAAAACCCCTCGCATCCAACTTCCTCCTTCTAACCCAATTAAGCCCCAACCTCGTTCGCTTTCCACTTTGCGCTGGGCCGAAACTCTTCCGCACCGCGTGACATTTTAGCTGCTCATTAATTATTAAAGTTGAGCTGCGAAAAAAGGGAAAAACTCGACTCGAAACAAAACCAAAGAACCTAAAGCAGCAGTTCTGCACTGCCAGAAAATGTGTATAAAGAAAGGAATATGCTTTTATAGAAGACATTGATAGCAGAGGGGCGTTTTCCATAGTTTAATCTGCGGAAATGAACTTTTTATCTATAATTATTCATTTAATGTGGATTTTGTATTACAAGTTAAGTTGGTTTTCTGGGCTCACTTATCTAGTTTTTCTTTCAGTGTTTAAAGTGGTAGTCCTTAATCCCGAACAGGGTCTTGTTTGCATTTAAAATTGACCAAAGTGTTGGCCCATCCCTTTTTTGTGATTCTCTCAGTGCTCATTCCGGCAGCGGCAGGACTCTTGTCCAAGGATTCATATTTCAGTCGCGTAATTATGAGTCTGCCATGAGGCGGGGCATAGTGTCCACGTTGCGGTTAATTTGTGGCACTTAAGCTCGGCTGCAGTTTGCTGGCTACATAACAACAGCCAGATTTTGGCTGCATATTTGATGTCTGTTCCATATAATTGGTAATTATTTGTCGAGTGCCGGACAGAGATTCCACCCATCCCTTGCATCCACATCCATTCCTTAACCTGAAAACCTGAAATGGCCGATGGAAAGCTGGGCGAAAAGGGCTGAAAAGGACGAAAGGCTGAGGCTAAAACAATGACTACGCTAATGAGGGTCTCTGTACGTAAAGGAAAAACCTCCTTTTGAATACTGCAAAATCTCCAAGAGAGAGGGAGTGCAGGAGGAGAAAAAAAGCAGCAACAGAAATGTGAATTGCGCTGATTAACAAAACTTGAGGCAAATGCTAAGCAGACAGCAACAAAACAACAACAACAGCAACAACGGTGGCAACGACTGGGGCCAAAAATACACAAGATGGGCTTGTGGGGGGGTAAAGGAGGGAGGAGGAGCCGCAGGTGCTAGGGGCAGACATATGTACACACACAAATTTAAATTTAAATTACGCATACGCCTGGTGGCACACATTTAATGCCCTGTGCAGCCACAGGAGCAGCAGCAGCAGCAGAAAACAACAACAACAACCAGAGCAAGGGCTTTAAACTAACCGAAGGATATGGATAGAGGAGAATGGTGACAGGAGGCAGGGGGAAAGAGGGGGGCAAGGAGAATCAGAGCAGAGAATCGCCAGCAGCAGCCTTAACATGATTCTAGTTCGAAAAATAAATCTCACACTCTCGCAGTCTCTCGCTGGAAAACAGTTAGCAGAGGCAGCTAGAGAGAGAGAGAGAGAGAGAGTGGGACTTCCAGGACATTTCTCTTTCAGCACTCTCTCTGGAGAGAGAAAGAGAGCTCTCTGGTTTCCCTGGCTTTGGGGATTCTGCAAACTTTTTCGCAGTTTATATAAGTTTCAACAGGCAAATGTTTTGTTAAAAATTAACCAAAATTAAAATAATTTTCCAAATTTTCTAAATATAACTAAACCCTAAAGTACTTTAGAAAACTCTTTACTGTCCTTTAGAGTAACATTCAGTTTTATTTGCTTAATTCGGGGCAAAAGTCCTGGCCAAAGTTAAGCCATTGAAGGCGAATTTCCAACAGAAACATTTGAATTTTCAACTGCGCGCGCTTCGCTTCTCTTTCACTCTCTCTCTCTCTCTCTCTCGGTCGAATTCAGCAGGAGGCTTTCGGTTTTCCTTGGCTTTCCCAAGTCCTAGCCAGGATTCCAGCACACACAGAAAACACGTTTTTGCACATGGCCCATGGACCAAAGTTTGGACTTGGCCCAGCGGCCAGTATCGGTATCGGTATCACATGCCAGCGAATTAAATCGAATCAAAGCCAATTAGAAACTGCAAAAAAAAAAAACGAGGAATTAAAGCCGACAGCAAGGACATGCTTGTGCGCCTATTTACATATTTATTTATGATTGCTCACCTTATTCCGGCCGCAAGTTCGTCTAATTAGTCGCAAAAGGCTTGACATTGCGGCCAACCGCAAAATGAAGCCCAGCAGCAGTTGGAGCTTTCAAGGCATCCTTTTCTGTGTGTCCCCAGTTTGTGGTTTTTGCGAAAACAGTTTGTCCTTTGGCCTTGTTAAGGACCAAGAATGACCCCCATAACTGTGGTGATTCGATTACTATGCAAGAGTCAATTATAATCACTTTCGACGGCATTTTCCAGCCAAGACTAACATTTATGATGATATGCCGATGAGGCCGAAAACGAAAATGTATACCATGAAGCTAAACATATAAATACTTGGCTTTAAATGCAATCAACTTGAAATCAAATTAATCACAAATTAACATTTCATGCTAAATGCATGAGAAAAGTAGAAAAACTTGATTGTTTGTCTGGTAAGCAACTTAAGCGGACTATTAAAACAGTTGCAAACTCAGTTTGCATTAATAAAGTAGGATAAACTGATTAAAACACTTATAGATCGACTTAAAATTAAAATTATATTACAATTAATATAAGCACCTAAAAGAAACTTAAGCTCAAGGCTGGCTTTCCATGATTTCGATTTGTAAAATATACTTTTATTTTGGTTTGAGCAACGTGTGAATTTGCATTTAACATATAGACACATATCACATAACCTTACGTCATCAAAAGGAGCGTCAAAGGACGAAGGAAGCAGCCTTTGTCGTTGAAAGAAAATTGTCAAAAGCGGAAGTAGCGTAATTTCATAAATGATTGATTACAAACACTTTACACGCATTCTCACTTATGTACGCCAATCACATACAGCCGCCCCCAGGATCCTACATACATACACATACATACAGAGCACATACACATACACACTGACTGGCACAAACACACACATTGGCACACTCCTCTCTCCCATATTTGCTTAGGTGTTTGGGGCCATAAACGATTTGTTGCTGTTGTCGACTGGCGACAGCTGACAACAGTGAGCTGTATTACACTATAGCCGCGTTTTGTTAGATCCGCTTTTGCACTTCTTTATCCAGCTGTTCCTCTCGCTCCTCCTGCTCCTGGTTGTCCTCCTCGTCCTTGCCGTCTCCTTGCGGATTCCTTCACCGCAGCCTTTGCGGCTGGACACATGTGTGCGACGACGACGACAGCCAGGGAAAAAGTTTCTGTGTTCCAATAATCTGTTTTCCTTTCGCTTTTTTCCCATCGCCACCGCCACTCTCTCAGCATTTGTTTCTACCTTTTTTGCATTGGCATTTGGCTTGGCTTGGCTTGGCTTGATTTTCCTCCTTCGTCCTGGCATTGCCTGTTTCGCAGCTTGCCACTTTGTGCAATCTAGCAATTTATCGAGTCCTGCGTGGGCGCCGCATCTTCCAGATTATAATCCAGCCAAGGCAGCAGTGGGAAGCAGCTGGCCCAGGACTCCAGATTGATAGATTTCACTTTGCGGTACAAGGTGGATTAAGGCGAAAGTTGATTTAGCCGAGATTCCACAACAAGATGGGTGCCCTTTTTGTGGGGGTGTAAAGCGATTCTATAAATATTCCATGAAGCTAAAGTCTAAATTTATGTAAATGGGAAAAGTATTTGTATCTTGCTTATCATATTTTTCAGTACTAATTACAAATAACTTTGTAGAAAAGATAATTATGCTTGGTAGCTTATTCTTAGCCCTAAAGGCTAGTAAATAGAAAAACTATTTTAAAGAAGTTCCTTTAATACGGATTTCTGTAATTGACTGAAAGCTTTGCATGTTTTTCACGCAGTGAAATTTCCCAAAAACTCCAAGAGTTTCCTGGAAAACGGCCACTATCGATTGCCGAATGTATTGTCAGAATGTGCCCAATAAAAAGGGAGAATAGCAGGAGAAAGTTCCTTCCTCTGATTAGGCTGTCTTCCCCCCTTTTGAGAAAATCGAATTGGTTTCCTCACTCCACAAAGAAATATTGCGTATACGCCATGTAGGCCTGCGAGTTGGGAGAAAAGTTTCGCCTGGAAACCCTACAATTTTTTTTGCCAAATGCAGCGCGAAATTGGCCAATTCGAGGGAAGTAAAGAGAGAGAGACAGAGCGGTGCTAATGTGGCCAAAAGAAGTAGAAGAAGCGGAGGGAGAGAAAGCATTAAGCAGCAGCAAACGATTAATCAATAAAACGAAGCCTGATGAGCAGGACACAGACAGGCGGGCCGAAGGACGGCGACAGGACAGACAAAAGGGTAGCAGTGGCAGCGGCAGCAGCTGCTCCTTGTGCTCCTCCTCTGCTCCTTGGGGTCTTCAATGCCCCCGGTTCTCCATCTCCTGCTCTCGAATCTCTCTCTGTGTGTGTGTGTGTGTATGGTCGTATCCTGGTGAGCTGCTCCCACGTTGACTGACAAGTCTTTGTGCAAACAGACGCACAATCCCACTCACAAACACACACTCGCACACTCGCAAATAAGGACGACACTCGCAAATACACACAGACAGAGACCAGCTCGTCGCTGACACAATATGAAAAATGCTTTTTTCCTTTTCCCCCCGTCCCGCCCGTCCACTCTCCTCGGGGATCGGAGGGCATGTTCGTAATCCACAATCGACAAAGATAAATCGCTTTTAGTGTGCTTCAAAGCATTTATTTAAATTTACGCTCGCTTTCTGTACTCCTCTATCGCTCGCTCCGTCTGTCTGTCACCTCTCTGGTCCCTTTCCCTTTCACTGTCATCGACGGATGCACTGGAAAATAAAACGTGACCTCATCAGTGTTTCAAATTGATCTTACAAGGGGATTTTGTGGTGACGGAAAAGTTGCAGATAAACTTTGTGAAATCAAGTTGCCGCATTTTTGTTGCCTTTGAA